GTTAATTCAGTTTTGTTTCCTCTTTCTTGGAAGCTTTCTTTGCATAAAGAATCAGAATCAGCTTTATTGGCTAATGATCAGTTTTTACTAGCTTACAGCAAACAGACTTTAAATATCAGTGTTTCAACTTTGGATGAGATTCCTGAAGTAAACACATCAAACATATTTTCTTATGCTCAATTATTTTTCTTTAAAAAAAAAGTTTATGTGCAACTATGTTTAATATGATTCTGAGCAGAGCTGACTATGTCCACTGCAACTTGTTTATGGGGTTGTTTATGAGGGGATATATAGCCTGGGTTTTACAATTATTGATTTGCATTGCTGACATGACGGTAAGCATCTTAACAGTTTATGACCAGGATGCGTAGGCTTTGTTGCAGAGATGTTATTGGTCTGTTTCTATGCTCTAATACAGAAGCGCAGAGATGGACTAATATATAGATAAACAGAAACTTCTCCTTGGAATGATTTACTTCACCACTAGACATTACTGTGAGCAGAGCACAACCTGAGCTTTTCGTCAGAAAAAGTTAAACTAAAGTAATGTGTATCTGACCATTACTGGAACGGTTCTTTTTATAAGACAGGTCAGTGCATTAGCACTGTTTTAGCATGTGACAGCATTTTGCAATCAGTGTCAGTAAAATTATATTTTAAAGGACTAGAAGAAATTGTTCCCCTTTGCATTAACTAAATGTAGGCCAAACTATGTAGTCTTCAGGCTACAAAACAAGATTGATCACCTATTTGAGGATGAAGTCTTGTTTCGAAAAGCATTATTAAGCAAAGTCATACGATCAGGTAAAGCTTGTTTAATATGTGTGTTTTATCTGGAGAGGTGGCAATATTAACAAGAGTTATTATGCAGGATGCCATCATGCCAGAGTAATGATTAAACCTTGTCCAAGGACACGTATTTTGATAAAGCGAGGCCTGTTTACATGAATAACAGTAAATGAAACTGCATGGACATACTCTGGTTAATGTTTACTCTTTATACTATGGTTCCATGTTTGGTCAAGTGTTCTGGAAATGTTCTGGAATGTCTGGAAAAATGTGCAAATCTTCTTCCAAATATCTCATCTGATACATTGGTTGTTTTTGAAAATAATTTTAAACATTTTATGTTCCTTATTTTTTTATTATAAAAAACACAAAAACAAAGAAAAGGTTTTAACAGCTTAAAAACACTTTGGGTCTAAACTTTGCATGTCTTAAAACAGATGCAAGTGTGTGTTTGTAGGCACGGAGCAGATCTTCAAAGAAGGTGCACAGTGATTGGATTATAAATATCATTTGATATTATCATTTTGTTGTTTTCAATAATAATAATTATTATTACTTTATTCTCCATGACTTTGAAACTTATCTTTGTTTTGCTCCCTCTCTCAAACTGACTGTAGAACATGTAAAATGCTTATTTTAATGGGTGGAGCTGAATCCGGTTTGCACATCTTGCACATCTGCACAATTGCTTAGCAACCTTTGTTGATCAGCCACAACACACCCAATTTATTGTATGTACTAGAAAAAAAATGCACTTGCAATTTAACGCCCCTTATTTGGAATATTTGAAGATAAGGCCCTTTGTGTTTTTGGGAATGTATTTGATTTCAGTAGGTGACCTGTTTAAACACCATGCATGCCTATTCATCACAGGATAATTGAATGACCACTCTTCATTTATGTTACCTGTATCCCATACTGTATAAAGTGCTTTTATATTGCTGTTATTTAGACTTAGTATTTGGATTCTCAGTATTTTTTTTTTACTAAAGAGGTTTTTGCTGTGGTCATCATTTCTATGCAGTGCCTATTCATTCACATTCATGTCAGCTCAAGGCACTTTACATAGACAATTTATAATACAGTAGGATTGGTAAAAGTTTCTATTAAGGAAAACCAACTAACTGCATCCAGTCAGTGACTTTGTAAGATTTGCTCCTGGATGAGCATTCAGCGACAGCAAAACCTCTATTGCATTGTGTTACTGCCTCTGCAGCAATCTCTCACATACACGCAGCGAAGGTGGAGAAGAAAAGCAATCTCAGTAAAACTAATACATATGAAAATCGCTTACCACGGTCTGTTGTGACCACAATAACTTTAGGCTATGGGTTTATTTGGTATCTATTTTGGTGAAATCATCTGTAAATGGGTGAAGATTAAGTCTGAAAAGGTTCTAATAGATGGAATATGTTCATCATCTCATCATCATTTCTTCCTCATTTGGATCATGTCTTCTACTATACAGTAAATACAATTGTTTTCAGCCTCTTCGGATGTTTTCATCCCAATAAATGGTCATTATTAGCAATGATCAGTTCCATTGAATGGCTTTAGATTGTGCCAGTAGGCTCAGTAGGTTGCTATCATGGAGTGAATCCTAATCCTAACCATACAGTAATTCATTTTCCCCCCAGAGAATTAATGAATCTATGTTTGTGTAATCGGAAAATAATTTCAGTAGCTCTTCATGTAGTGTAAAAATGAATAAAAATAACATTTTCTTATTAAACAATCCAAAATGAATTAATCTCATATCTTGTCAACTGAGTTGTAGAATCCTCTTCCTATAAATATTTAACTCTCTGTAAAAAAGTGCCTATCATTCTTTAAGAAGATCCTCATGAAACGGACATGCAATGTTTGCTATTAAATCTTAATGTGTGTAACGGACCTAGTGAATTATTTTTTCTTTTAATGCACAAAAATATGACAAAAATGTGATAAAATCAGGAATCAAAACAACGTGATTGGCTGTAGGGGGAGCGGAGACAGAGAACACTGAGTTTACTGAAGAAAACCTGCTCGTGACCAGGTTAACTCTGGGAAGAATGTTACTACCGTGACTGAAAGAGAGGTTTGGTAAACTTTCTTGCTGAAACAGAAAACTCAGAGTTTCCCATATTACAGGTTTAGAAAACGTAGTTTTCAGTAAACCTGTTTTGTGAAATGGAGCAAAAAGAAGACAACTGACAACCAAAGTAAGCATCAAGAAAAACCCTTCAGTTTTGGAGAACCACCTTCAGTTTCGTTTTTAGCTCAAGCCTCTCTGATGGAGAGTGTTATACCTGAGAGCGGGGGGGATCATATTTGTAATTAAATATAACTAGGTCTACATCATCAATGTCGCCAACACCGGAATGCTTTCAGACATCGGTGCCACCAGCGCAGCGATCAGACGATAACTGATCTGCACAATGAAAATAGCTGCATGAGCTGGAACGCTGTGGAGAGGGAAAGCAAGAATATTTATATAATAATGACCCTCTGCCCTATTTATTAGGGGGCAAATATAACTCAAGCGATCTGTCCTCCGCTGTAGCGGATCTCTCTTACGCGGCAGCCGAGACAGCATCGTGAGACTGCAGTAAAGTTGGCAACATATTCATAAATTCGGCTTTTCCGGATTAATCTGGTATGTTCAATAGGTTTGCCTAAATAAAAGATTTAGATATGACTGATCAATATATTCCTGCAAAAAGGTCTGATGTTGCAGGCGAAGGTAATGAAAAGTGTTTGGAGCATGCTTTTGTTCGGATGCCACTTTGTTTCAGCCTTTATCCAGTCTGATGTAGAAGGGCTGGTCATACCACAGGTTGTTTGCATTACAATCGGGACAGTTAGCAAGACAGAGTGAATACACAAACTTTAAAAGTGGAGAGGGGGGGGCTTGCATGAAAACTGAAATTCTCTGGGACTTCTACTGTTAAGCTTCTTTAAATTTGCAACTTCAGTGTACTTTCCTGTGTTACTCTTAAGTTCTGTTCATGTAGAGCATTTTGAATTTCATTACGTTAATTGTGCTATTCAAATAATCTTCCCTTGACATACTCTATATCAGAATTGTAAAACTGTTGTAAAACTTTTTCCTTAGCTCTGCAAATATTTGAATATGAGCTTTAAATTTATTTTCTGACTTGGTGCCAGTTTTTTTGGCTGTAGTTTTACAATCTGGTTAAGCTGCATTGTGTTAGTCAAAGAGGCGTGTCTCCCAGCCTTTTTTAAATATATATTTTTGATATAGTGCTGTTTAGTTTTTCAGATACAGAACTTTCAGGGGATGTTTATTGCTGTACGTCCTGGTCTAAAGCAAGCACATTTAGACAACTGTGGGATCAGGATGACTCGGTGGATCACTTTCTATGTGAGACTGATTAATCGATGATGTTACAGAAAACTTCCCAAAATGCATCATAAAAGAAAAGGAGGTGTTAATAATCCACCCTTCGTGCTGTGAGTAAAATACATCCTGTAATGTTTTAATATGACACTGCATTGCTCTATGGAGCTGTTACGGATCAGAACTACAACTTGTGGGTTCAGAACTATAAATCCCATATCAGAGCACCAAATTATGGATGTGTTTTGGCTATTGGTTTAGAAGAAAAGACAACCTGGTTTCTTAGTATAAATTAGCCTTAAGACAAATAATCGATTTACAGGGGTGTTCTTATTTTATTATTACTGATCTTATTCATTTATCCTTATTTTGGTCCATTCAATATGTTTAAAAACTTAATTTCCATCACACTTTCCAAAATTAATTGCTCCGCATTTGAATTGTCACTGTAAAGTATTCAGTTCATATAATCTAAAATGAACTAGGGCCATTAGAGTTGTCAGGATGGTTTGGTGTTTATTGGTCTTTTTTCATTCAATCAGAATCACAATTACTTTATAAAATTCTTTAAATGAGATATAAGAATAAAATAAGGATCACAGTAGGATTTATGATTTACATTGCTGATCAGTACTAAATGACAATTATTGCACATGACTGCGTTATTTTGCATAGTGAAGTAATGACATAAATAAAATACAAATAATGAAATGAAAGTAAATAAAACTTAGATAGGTGAAAGAAAAATCTGTCATATTTCAAAAAAAAAAAATACAAGCAAAGAAATCATTGTTTTTTGTTTGTTTTTATGAACTACCCCATCATAAAATCGGTCTTCCTTTCTCTTTTTCTTGTGTTTCTTGTTTTGCAGAGAAGAGCAAAAAATCTGATGGTCTTCTGCACCTGAAACCTGCAGTGATCTCCAGCCATGAGTCCCCGCTGCAGAGTTAACTTCAACACTATGATTCTCCTGGTTGTCCTGCAAGGGGCAGCAGTGGTAATGTTCTGCAACTGGTACATCCAGTTAAGCCCCTGTGACTCTGTTCCCCCTAAAGGCAAAATTCATGTGTTGCTGCTGTCGTCATGGCGATCAGGTTCATCCTTCCTGGGTCAGGCTTTCAGTCAGCACCCATCTGTTTTCTATCTCATGGAGCCCGGTTGGCACGTGTGGACCAAACTGCAGAAACCTGGTGCACGAGTTCTCCGTATGGCTGTGAGGGATCTGATGCGGAGCTTGTACCAGTGTGACTTCTCAGTAATGGATGCCTACATGCCAGAAAACTACAATGTTTCCACCTTGTTCATGTGGTACCAGAGTCGGGCGCTGTGCTCGCCCCCAGCCTGCCCCCTCACACCACGCACACAGATAAGCAATGAGACTCAGTGCCAAAAAAAATGTGATTCTTCAGGTTTTCAGAAGGTGGAGGAGGCATGTCACACTTACAGTCATGTGGTTATAAAAGAAACTAGATTTTTTGAGCTGGAGTCTCTTTATCCTCTTCTGCAAGATCCCAACCTGGACCTCCGCATCATTCACCTCATTAGAGACCCCCGGGCCGTGATGCGGTCGAGAGAGGAATCAGCCAAAGCCTTTGACCGAGATAACGCCATTGTCCTGGAGCAGAGAAACGTTCCAGCAGCCAACGTGCAGTATGAAGTCATGCAGGAGATTTGCAGGAGCCATGTTCGGATCAATGAAAGGGCGATGCAGAAGCCTCCTCCGTTTCTGAAGGGTCGCTACAAAATGATCCGGTATGAAGACGTTGCACGCAACCCTTTGAAGGAGATCAATGATATTTATGACTTTGTAGGTTTAGAGATGACCGATGAGATGGAGGAATGGATCTACAGAGTAACCCACGGAAAGGGGAAAGGCAGCAGGAAAGAGGCTTTTCAGATCACCTCTAGGAATGCTGCTGATGTCTCCCAGGCATGGCGCACCTCGCTTCCCTATAACAAGGTCAAACGCGTTCAGGAGATTTGTAAAGGGGCCATGTCAAGGCTCGGTTATAGGACTGTTGACAGCGATAAAGAGCAGAAGAGACTGGACATAGATCTGCTGGTTCCACAGGAACCATATGAGTTCAGCTGGGTTCCTGCTAAAACTCAACTCTCAGGAAACAGCTAGAGTCTGTCAGTTAGATCATTGCCAGACTAGTTAACAGATCTGCTCCCTGTTTCAGCAACAGAGGCCACAAACTTGAACAAGGGAACACACTGATCGAGCAGCAAACACTGCTGTCACAGTCACCGTTAAAGCAGGACTTTGTGGAATGCTGACCTTTCAGAATGTAGAGAACCTAAAGCTATAATGCATGACAGTATAGTTTGTGTGAGTGTGTCAGTGGAGATAGCCAGCAGCAGTTTTGTCTTGCTCCTGGAAACCTCTATAAACACTCAATTAGCTCTATAGGATTTACAATATATCTCATTTTACAGAACTTATGGGAGGATGTTATCATCACTCATAGATTCTCTTCATTTGCCTTGAGAAGTCACAATTAATCTTTCAGACAGCCTAGATGGAGACATGAAGCAGACAGAGCTTATTTACATTAGTCTTCATTTCTTTTATACAATTTAAAGTCTGATGAATTAATCTCTCCCCAGTGTTCTTTAACAGCAAGTGGAGATTAAGCTTTAGCATTTTTTTAAAAATAAGGGACCTACAAAGATGTAAAAATAGAAACATGGCCCATACATTATATTTTTTTATTTGTCCCTTAAATATCTTTTTTCTCAATTCCTGGGGGTTTTCTGTGATGGAAACATGAAATGCCGCAGAACTTTTAAGTGAAGGGAAAGTGATGCAGGATTTGCAGCATTTATTTGATGGGAGAGTTGTTGTAGATGTTGATAGCTGTAGGCAGGAAGGATATTCTCTTCCAGATCTGGAGAAGCCTCTGAATGAAGACAAGTTGATGTTATTTAAAAATCTTCTGAAGAGGATGCTCCTTGTTGTTCATATTTTTCTTCCTTTTATGAAGAATTCTTCTTTGTGAAGTAATCTCCTGAGTTTCTATGGAAGTAAATCTATGTCGCTGGGATTTGAATTAAAAATGCCACTGAAATTTAAATGTTGTAAATAGTAATGTGAATTTTTAGCTTGAAGAGAAAATAACAAATGAAATTTCAACTGTGTAGAAATAATGACAATGAATTTTTTTTAGGTCAAGAATGTGTTCTGAATGTATTTTAACACTTAAACAGTAAGTACAAACATACGACATTTAAATTTCAGTAGCATTTTTAATTAAAATCCCAGCGACACAGATTTACTTCCATAAGTTTCCAGGGGAGTTCCTCGACTCAACAAGCTATATATCAGCTTTTTGAGTTATTTAAGTAATTTGCCCTGATGCTGTTACCCCAGTAGATGATGGCAGAGGAGATCACACTCTCTACAACAGACATTGAAGATATGTAGCATCTTGCTGCAGACACTGAAGGACATAAGCTTCCTAAGGAAGCACATTCTGCTCTGTCCCTTCTTGTAGAGGGCTTCACAGTTATGTCTCCAGTCTAGTTTGTTGTCCAGGTAAACGTCACAGTATTTATACTCCTCTCCCACCTCCACTTTGTTCTCCATGGTGTTAATATGATTCAACTTGTTCTTGTTTCTTCTGAAATCTACAGTAATCTCCCTTGTTTTGTTAATATTCAGGATAACAAGACTGTTTCCACTCCATGCCACAAAACGGTTCACCAGCTCTCTGTACTCAGTTTCTTGTCTATCTTGATGCACCCAATGCCTGCAGAGACATCTGACTATTTCTGCAGATGACAGGACTCTGTCTGGTACTGGAAGTCAGATGTGAACAGAGTGAAAAGGAATGGAGAGAGTACTGTCCCCTGTGGTGCTCCTACCCTGCTGACTACTTGATTATACAGCTGGACCTTCAGTCTAACATACCGTGGTCTGTTTTTCGGCTGATCAATTATGCCTTTACATGAGACTTTTGGAGTTTCTCACAAAGTTATTGCTCTTTAAATGCAAACTGCAGTTGTACTCAGCTCTGATTTAACGATCTGCAGAAAACACAATTTGCCATAGATTCTGGTTCTCATAGATATGTATTTTATCAGACATGTATGTATGTCTTGATCCAAAAGCATTTCCTTTTAGCTCTGGCTGATTATTGTCCCATTTGAAGGTGAAGCTCTGACCAAGCATTTAGTCCCATCCATCATCCTTGTTTTGCTAAAAAAAAAAAAAAGATCTACAAGCATATTTCACTAGACAATTAGCAGTTTGCATGTAAACCAGAGCAGCTTTCTCCTCACATTAGCTGTACCCACCATAAAGGACACAATTAAAAATCTTAGAAACCAGATTTTTCAGAGATCAACCTCGGTGGAAGGACACGTCTTGTTAGCATAGTAGTTGGTGCTGCAGCTCTCTAGAATGTTTAGATTATTTGTTTTATAGCCTAACCCAGCTTTAAACTTCTCCTCAACCTTTTTGTAGAGCTGTCTGCAGCTGTAACTAACACCCTCCCAAGCTATTTTCCAAAAGACCAGCTGGAGGTTTATTTAATTTATTTATTTTTTGTCGTATTCGTATAACAGGAGTTACATACAAAAGCACATTGTAGTTTTCTGATACTCTTTTTTATGAGTGAAAAATGTTTCAAAGCTTTGCTGCATTTGTATTTCACTTCACAGTTTTGTGTTACCTTGTGTTTTTTTCTACAACAAAACATTCCAATAAAATCCACTGAAGTTGGTGTTGAGACGAGAAAAAATTTGAAATAAATTAAATAGTTCTGAAAACATCTGCAACTAATTCTATTCAGGGTATTTCTACATATGCTGTTTAACATGTAGAGTTTATTTGTGTTGCTTTTGATTGAATCTGTGATCCTTATTTGGCCCAGTGACTTCTGGATTCTCTTCTTCTTTAGTGGAGAAACTTGAAGTATTTGAAACCATAGGGACACATTAAGCGGAATGAACAACATTCAGATTTACCAACACTTAAATACCTTACCATGGTTTAGAAACACCCAGTCTCACATGAAATGCCCTGTGTCCAGTGCAAGGGCAGGTGTATTTTCTAAAAACTATAATCTGTGTTCCTGAGAAACTTGAACTAAGCACAGCTTGTGATGAAAAACAAGAAACAAATAGACCGACTGCCTGGATGCTGTAAACTGAACTTTAGCTTCTTACTGCATAATAGAATTATTATTTCCCAGTGCAGACAGGATTTGGTTGCCTATTATGTATGTGATGCACAGAGTTAGGCTGCAGCATTCATTTCTGCAGTAGAAATACAGAATATTGCACAACAAAACAGCATGAGTTGTTTGAGAAATACTGCTATGCGGCTTAAGAGACTTATCAGAAAATGTGAGCTTAGTGTGCAGTGTGCAAGTCTGAAGACATATCCAAGGTACTTTTTTAGTACTGACATATTATATCATATAAGTATGATATGTCAGTTGTGATACAATATGTAAATAAGTGAATGCGTAAGTCTTGAAAGAAATATGTCTTCAGAAATATCTGAATGCATATATTATATTAGTAAACAATGCAATAAAAAGAAACTTCATTGCCCTTATGATAGCGCCTTTCTGTTCCACACTTTTTCTTTTTAAAATTCTTAAAAATTCAACTTTCTCAGATTTGCAGCTCTAAAATACTATCGATTTTCCCTTAAATGAGCTGCTCTCCAGTTAAAATTTCATATAAAAATTTTTTTATTTTTTTTGCTTTTTTAAAAAAGTTCAAAAAATAAACATGAATGACAAAGAAATATCAGTACACAATAAAAGGGAAGGTAACAAGTAATAGGGGTCAGCTGGATTACTTAGATAACAAATGAATTGTTTTTTGTTGAGGGTGTCATTTACAGCTCAGTCTGTCTGAGTTTAATGAAGTCTACAACAAGGTTTATTCTTTTTCATTTGGTAAATCATAACAAAAAAGTATATAGTTCAGCTCAGCCTAAGTTTCACCTCGGATTGAAGTGCATTGTTGAAAACAAACAGGTCAGAACAAAGGCTTTCCTGTAGGTGATACGGCATCTTTGCTTCTGCGTTGACTTCCTGCATGCATCAGCAGATATCTGAGCTCTTACACACAAAGAGATTGTTTTGGTGATACTGAAACAATGCCAACCATTTATAGCATCACAATTCTTCCCTTATTTTCCAGCTTCATTAAGGGTACTAATCTGTCCTCAGCAAAAAGAGAATGAAGGGAGCTGAACAGGATCATTAGAAGCTGGATGAAATGTCATTGTGATCAAAAACTGGATTTATTTTAGTAAGTAATAAAAAAAACAAACTCGTATATTACAAGGAGCCCATACTGGGAGAAAATGTCATTGGTATTTACTTGTTTAAATTGTTTTTATAGTTTAAGGTACACTTATCCAAAAATCCACTTTGTCTGAAAACTTTAATAGAGATCGACAGAGAGACGTATCTTTTTCTGCACAAATGTGGGGAAAGTATTGCTGTTATAATGTCATCCTCAACCAACCTCTAATGGCTGTGCTTATATGTTTTGCCTGCAAGCCTTTCTCTAACACACTTTTTCCTTCCACTTAACTTTTTTATTAATATCCCTATACAACACTTTTTACATTTAGCTTTGTCTCCAATGGCCTTTAATTCCTCACCCACCCTGTGGAGTGACTCCCCTGTGGACAAGTGTCATGTCAGCAGTCTTTTCATGTTTGTGTAGACCCAAAACACAACTTTCGTTTTTAGACATAATAACCTCATTGCTTTAAGGTAAAACTCAAATTTACCAAGAAACAGTTTTTTGTTTTTGTGATTAGCCATCAGCGAGATAATGAAAAAGAACCAATGGAAACCTCTACAGTCGATCACCTTCCAATTTTGCCTTGACTGAGTGGATAATAGAACATTTTTTAAAATTTGAATTTGCTGAGATGCTCATTGGGGATTTTTTTATTGGAGGGAACAACTAAAAACTAAAGTTTGATATTGATATTTTCATCAAAGTTATAAGTACTTAGATATCCAAACTGCTCATTAGGTGCAAGGCTTATACTTTGATTGTACAGCAGTATAGCCTCCTAACTCTTAACTGTTTACTTTAGAGGATCAGCATCAGTCATTAAATCATTTTAATTTAATCACTCAAACATATAGATTAGCTGTGGGATGCTATTAGTTATGTGGAGTAAGTTCTTAAAGTGAAGGTGTTGATGAGATAGAGCTTCAAAGTATCAAAGCATGAAAAATATCAGCATTAATTTTAATTCTCACATGCAAGGAGAAATATGCAAAAAGAAATGAAATATACTGTTACAGTAAAACTAATGTACAGAATGTCTACTGTGACCAAACAGAATGTGGGTGTAAAGCAATGTCTCTGTTATACAAACATAATGTGGCACTAATAAATGTATGTAAGGAGTATTTTTATTTAATGTTTATTAATTTATAAGAACAGACTGACCCCTTTTGGAATATTTACATCTTTTTCTCTTTCATCCAGTAATGTTTTACCTGTTTCATCTCTAAGTGTGTTTAAATCTGCTTATTTTTATTTATTTATGTTCTGTTTTTTTCTGTTTCTGTTGATTTTATATAAGTTTGGTTTCTATGGGTTTTTTTTGTTTTGTTTTTTTGCAGATGCTCTGACTCTAGTTGTTTTCCTTGTTTTTAAAGTTTCTTTGCTCTGCTTTCTAATTATGTTCTTGAACATTTTTGGGTAACAAACTCATTTGTTTCTAATCAGTTTCTTTAAGATTTCTTTTAAAATTCTTAAGTTTATACGCTCACTATGTATGTCATCTGGCTTTGTCCTGCCCCAGAGGCTCCTTCATCTGGTACAGATAAACTGTCATCCATCCATGCATCCATATCTTTTTTTTTTTTCCAAAACTGTTCAGAATATATTTATAGAAATAAATTGATGTGAGTTGCTGTATGATGATTAAATATATGTTGGAAAGCAGAGTTGTGTTTATTTTATACTGATGGTTTCCATAAACTTTTCTGGATAAAACACGGTTAAACAGCTGATATGCGTGAGAATAGAATAATTAAAAAACAAAATCAGTTTAATGTTTTCTATTATGGCACATATAAAAACTGTAAGAAGAAAGAAAGGAGTAATTTGTGCCACACCTTGTGGCAGCAGCAGTTACAGTGTGCATTTTTCCTGTGACTATTCCTGAATAAATCAATAAAGCAGGTTTCATCTGTGGTGTCTCCCACACTGCAGCTTTAAATCTTTTTTATTGGTATAAAATGTTGGCACTTTGATAAGTAACAATATTTCATTGTCCTGGAACTTAGGTGAGGCTTTCAGGAACTTAGCCATCTGTTCGTGTCCAAGGTTTGACAATCTTTGTCAGTAAACCGGAACTAAGTACTATAAAACCTATAGCTTTAGGGACTGGATAAAAGGCAATTTTGTCAATTTTTTTTTTGTCTTTGAAACCTTTTATGACACTTATCTCCTTTATAAGAACTGTAAAAACAGCAATTTTAAAAACATGAACAGCAGCACTCTATTCATTTTTTGTTATTTAACTAAATATAAAAATCAAGCTGAAGAACAATAATGTCATTGCCTTTTTGGTTAGTCTGTAATTGATTTTCACTGTTTATCTACACCCAAATGTCAAAATTTGCTATTTCATTTTTTGAAATGTAAGCATTAGGATCATTAAAAAAGGGTCTTGAAATTACAAATTTAAAATGTTCTTCCTTAAATCCAATCTGGCTTCCCCACCTTTAAAATAATGTGAAAACTCTTCTCACTAGTGTTGTGCAATTTCACCACTTGATAATGAATACATTAAATAACTAGAACTGGAAGTTATATTTAATTAATAGGCCATTAAAATCAAGGATAAAACCAAATAAGAAATATTGGTAACTTTGTATATATATATATATATATATATATATATATATATATACAGTAAATCACACACACACACATATATATACGTGTGATATCTATACACATATATATATGTGTGATACACATTCAGATAGAAATCATGCAAAACACCATGTGAATGCTATTGTTTATTTACATGGATCAGTGGATAATTGTTGTTTCATGGTAACAAATGGAAACCGCAGGAAAACTACAAAGAAAATAGTGCTGTTTAAAAGATGCAGATATGTTGGTGAGTTAGGTGGAAAGGTGGATAAATGTGTTTAGTAGCCACAATAGTGGCGTGAAAAATCAACAGTTATATCTGCCAGCACAGGATACGCTTTGTTATCAGCCGGTTAATACAAAGCCTGGGCTTTAAATTTCCTTGTATCTAAACGGGCTTAATGATCCCTCAGAGGAACAATGTGCTCTGAGTAACTCTTTACCCTCCAGTTTAGCCTCCATAACTGAACTCATTTATTCATTTTTCTTTTTCTTTTCATTCATATTTTCCACAATATATCAATTGCTAACCATATATTTAATTTAAAGTCAGAACTATGATTTTCATTTATAATTGCTTGCTCTTCTTCATACTTTGAAAGTCATATTTTGGAGTATTGAATTTACTGTTTTTAATTTCAATATATTCATAGACTTATTCCAAATTTAAAGATCAAAATTTAGATTCAAATTAAAAACTATGAGATTGTGTTGGGAGATGTATAATTGCTAAATTGTGGCATCTAGATCATCAAAGTGGTGCACAAATACACATATAACCTTAGATCTGTTAAAACCGTTTTTTTTTTCTTTTGTTCATATAAGACCACAGCTGTGTGGGTAAGGTAGACAGATAAGCCCACAGAAGTGGTGGAAAGCTGTGGACCATAAATACAGCTCAGCTCAAAAACAGGCTCAAAAGCATCGAATGGATTCAGTTGATGGGGGAGTGGGGACAGTTGCAACAGTGTTAATTTAACCAACGCAAATGTATCTAGACTGATAAGAGTCATACACCTACACTCATTTACCTCTTCCTTGTTCCAACAAGACAGCAGACACAATGATGCCTTCATGGAGTAATGAAAACATAGGAAAAAAGTAATATTTTTGATGATTGCTTTTTTTTTTTTTTTTTTGTAGAGATTTTTTTTTCATAAAAAATATATATGAATATAGTAAAGTTTAAAACTAATTTTACCGTAACAATAGCATTGAATAAGTAAATGTATTCTTCTTAAATAGATTTTCTATTAAACTTAATAGTTTGAGTTAATAAATTCAAATGATTTAAGGCAACGGGTTTCTTGAAATCATTTCAGATCAAGTAATTTATCAGGTTTCACATGACAGCGAGGGAAGGGGATCCTTCCGCTGACCGCAGGTAACCTCCCTGAAGGAATTGCTGAGGGTCAATTCCCACGAAACATACTTACGGGTTTCTAAACGAATTAAACATTACATAAACAATTTAAACTAATTTATAATTTAAACTTAATACAAACACTAGTTCAGGATAAAATCAGACCATTTGAATTACCTCACGATGTCCTCCTGTTTGTAGATGTAAAGTAGGCCCCTCCTGCTGATCAGCGCGCGCGGCTCATCCTGGTCCCGCTGCTGTCGCAGTTCATGTCCAGGGAACAGGAGGAGAGCTGTGCGCATCCTGGGAGCCATTATCACCGGTTAATAAACACACTAAGGTAGGAGTTCACAATTGTTACAATATATGGATATAAACCGAATAAACTTCTCTTTATTTCATTAAAGATACATTTATGTATTGTTCTTATTAAATCAGGCGCATTAGATGACAGGTCAAAGTCTGAGCTTCAGTCGCTTTATATGCTTTAGATCGACTGAGATATATTTTTATGTTGGATATTTGGCTAAAACAAATAAAGATGGACAAATTAAATACATATAGAAAAATTAACCTGCAAAGGCTATAGGTGGCCTATAATGATGTACAACCTGTTTTACGAAAGTTAATGTGTAAGTTTATATATAGGTTAAATGCATCTGGAAAGGATATTATCTTGTCAATTATTGACACCAAATTTAGTGCAATCCTATATCAGTCTAAGCTGTGGTGACACTGGTATTACTGTCTTCTTAAAGTTCCTGTTTAGTCGATAATGGTACTTTTATTGTGTTTTTTTTATTATTAACTATTTTTATTTTATGTATGTATTTATTGGACCATGAGTCCGGAATAAAGTTCTCTTTCTTTCTTTCTTTCT